TTTCAGGAAGACGAGGTATACAGTCAAAACATGCCTTCTAGAACACAGTCTAGGTAATAACTTCTGGTCTTAGGAAAGACATACCCAAATATAAAGAGACTACTCTAATGATGCTCTCTGTGAGAGTTCCTCATAGAGTCCCTTTGTGGGTCTGTTCAGTGCGAGCTATACCCTTATAGGTCCACCCACGACTTTAGCTAAGACATCTCCATATCTGTAGCACATGAGGTCTATACCTTGTATCCATATACAAGTAGATAAGTCGTGCTAGTCTTACCCGAGATTACTGACCCCATTCTCAGTATCTCTAGACTAGGAACATAAAATTAGGAATAAACATCCGGTATTCTTGAATCCTCATGATTGTGATCTCATCACAGATACTCAAGAGATACCTATTTTATTCGACGGGGTTTATCAAGTTATTCATAATATATTAACATTAATATCGAGACAGAATTATGAAACAAGATAAATAGTGTTTTTATTCGCGACAATATTAAAAAGGTCTATATCTATGTCCTTATTTAATCATAAGATTGTCTCTAGGACACCCAAATACTAACAACTCACTCCACCAACCCAAAGTCAGCCCCCAACACTCCCTCAAGCTGACCTCCTTACTCAGAAACAACACCACAAACCCCTTCCCAAAGGTGACTCTCCCTCACACAAGTGTTTAAGAGAAGCTTTCAAGGAAGAGAAAGCCTCAAAACTAAAGAAATGGTGAAGAAAGGGATGAAACAGTGACACACTCAGACCAGCCACCAAATCCCACGAAGAAGAGGCAGTTTTCTAGGGCATTGTGCCCTTTGTAAGAGTATATATAGCCACTTAACCATTAAACACGCAGTATTAACTTTAATTGCTACGCTTATTATCTTAATCCCAAAATTTGGATTATGAAACTACATAATTTTCTAAGATTTATCATATTTTTCTTATATTTTTCTGAGCACCTTTCCGGTACGCGCTTTTCAAAGCCAGTACCGGTTTCTAGCACCAGTTCTCATTATTTGGACTTGAAACTCGTTTTGCAAGTCCTACATATTATTCTAGTAATTATCATGCACTTACTTTAATTTTCCGGGATACGTTTTTGGCACGCATTTATACCGACTAGCAGAACCGGTATCTGCACTTTTCTTCCGAAAAGCGACTTTCAGCATTCTTAATCACTTATTATGATTATTAAGCCTCATAAATAATTATTAGGGTCAATTATGGAATCATTTCCTATTTTTGCATAATTAATTAATTAAATACAATAATTAACGGTGCGGGTTCTTACATAACTAGGGTCTACTTTACCTCTGATTCCCCTTAAGTGAATTAAATTAATTCAAAACGCTCTTGTTATCAAACGATTCATCATCTAATTATAATTATTAATTGCTTAAATTCCTAATATCTTAGTTATTTAACCGTTTAATCTAATTACAATCCTAACTTCATAGAAACCCTTTTCAGATTAAGCTTTAAAAGAAATAAATCTCACATGTTTGCAACTCTCACTGGTCTATGTCTAAAAAAAGAAGAAATTGGTATTTATCCTAGTCCAGATTAAAATCCTAAATATTTCTATTTAAAATTTTACCCTCACTATTCCTATATGTTTGATCAAGTAATATAAGAAATTAAACAAATAAATCAGGATAAACATATAACAATTGAGATAGATTTTATTGAAAGATAATTTAAATCAAAATAAGAGTAATCATTGGATCCATATCCCTAACTACAAATAGAAATTAGCCAGACATATCTGGCTTAAACAAAAAAAGAAAAGAAATTAAAATAGATGAAGAGAGTAGAACAAGAATGATGATTGATCGGGATTCCTCTAGTCTCTGCGTTCCTCCCTTTCAATATGTGCAAGCTTCCTTTTGTTTCCAAGATATTCCCCCTTTATATTAAAGAGAAACTTTCCTTTAAAATCTCCAATCAAATCTCTAATTAAATCTTCTTGATTAACAATTCAAAATATCACAGCCTATCAGATATGATTCCTCCTCAAATAAATCCAAAATTGCCTTTTTTTCTTATTAATAAATTAACTGTTGGGCTTAGAAATGGTCCTGAATTAGTAGTTTATTAAATATTTATTTTTTAAAACCACAAGGAGTTTAAGTGAAAATTTGAACCATAGGGAGTTAAATGATAAATTATTTCAGCACAGTAGGTGTAAGTGATAAGTTTAAAACTACAGGGGTCAAATGATAAATCATAAAATCATAGTGGAAGAAAATGAAGTTCCCCCATGATATTATATACTATTTATAAACTTGTAATATTTTGCATAATATTAACTAGCTGATAATTTATAAAATACATTATTAATATTTGATTTAGAATTTATTTATATATTTTCTTCAAAATGAAGAGGGAAAACTTCATTTTCACCCACTGTGATTTTGTGATTTATCATTTGATCCCCTGTGGTTTTAAACATATCACTTAGATCCACTGTGCTGAATAATTTATCATTTATCCTCCTATGACATAAATTTTCACTTAGACCCCTTGTGGTTTAAGAAATAAAATTTTAAAAAATAAGTATTTATAATAAATTTTCTCTCTTTTTTATTTTATTTCCTCATCTAATGCATTTAGGGTTTAAAACATATTTCAAGTTATTTATTCTGAAATTAAATTATAAATTATCTTAATTTTTTCATCTATAAAAATATATTTGAAATTAAATTTTATTATTTAAAACAAATTAAATATGTATTGTCAAAATAAGATGGGAAAATGAAAGGTTAAATTGGAATGAGACAATAGTATGGGAGGGAATTATTTTTATTTGATTTATTTTATGATAAGGTTTTCGAAGGAATTAGTTTTTCGTCGAAAATTTTCAACGGATTTTGATTTCTGTCGAAAAATTCAAAATTATATATTTTTCGATTTATTTTTATATGATTTTCGACGGAATTTGTTTTCCGTCGAAAAGTTCACAACTATAATTTCTATTTTTATTTATGGTTTTCGACGGAATTAGTTTTGAGTGAAATTTTTTCTACAGAATCTGATTTCAATCGAAAAGTTCATAATTATAATATCTTTTTTGATTTATTTTTTTATTAACTTTTCAATGAAAAACAAATTTCGGTGAAATAATTTTTATTTATTTATTTTTTATAAGGGTTTTCGACGAAATTAGTTTTTCATTGAAAATTTTCGATGAAATTAGTTTTTCATCGAAATTTTTTGACAAAATTTGATTTTCGTTTAAAGTTCATAATTATTATTTCTTTTTTGATTTATTTTTTATAAGGTTTTCGACGAAATGTTTTGACGGAAAACGAATTCTGTCAAAAAGTACATTAAAATAATTTTTTTGATTTATTTTTTATGAGATTTTCGACGAAATTCATCTTTTGTCGAAAAGTTCATAATTATAATTTCTTTTTTCATTTATTTTCTTATAAGGTTTTGATGGAATTAATTTTTTGTGAAAAAGTTTTGACGAAATTTTCCATCGAAAGTTCATAATTATATATATTTTTTGATTATTTTATAAAGGTTTTAGACAAAATTATTTTTTCGTTAAAAAGTTCATAAATATAATTTTTATTTATTTATTTTTATAAAAGGATTTTTGACGGAATTTATTTTCCATCGAAAAGTTCTTAAATATAATTTCACTTTTGATTTATTTTTTTATAATGTTTTCTACGGAATTTGTTTTAATTTTCAACGGAATCTGATTTTCGTCGAAAAGTTCTTAAATATAATTTCTTTTATAAAATTTCAATAGAATCCATTTTTCGTCGATAATTTTGGACAGAATCTGTTTTTCGTAGAAAATTTTGGACGGAATATAATTTTCGTCGAAATACGTTTTTCATCAAAATTTCCGTTGTTAATTTTGACAGAATATCTTTGGTCGAAAATTTTTGTCTAAAATTTAAGATTTTTCTAGTAGTGAATATCTTATGGAGATTTGAAGGACAACTTGTGTGCATGATTTATGTATTGAATATCTTAATCATAATATTTTGTAGTGAACTTTTAAGTTATATTGTGAATAATTAAAAACGCACAGGGCATAGAATAATTTCTCACCCATTAAGGGCTGCAATCTTGCAGAACTTCACAGAGAAAAAGGTAAAAAGGTGACTGAGACTTACGTGGGCTGCTTGCAAAGGAAAAATAACATAGAAGAAATCTCTGTTATGGCTGTTTTGATTTTATAATTATATGATCCTATCCTGTATGTGGAAATGTGCTGTGTATTTGTAAAGAGTACATTTCAGTCCATCCCCTGTTATTATTTTGAAAGACATGATGTAATTGAGATTAAAACACACGCACGCACGCGCCCACGTTAAGTACGCCTTTGAATTTTTGTCCGATGCTCTTGTAATTCGGCCAATCAAGACTTGAACCGGCTTTATTTGTGTCATCCCTTGATGTGTATCATTATACTTAGCTTAATCTTTGAATAGTAGTAAGCATGTGTTTCCAAGAATAGATTGGGTGGGTTATAATCAGATGAGTTTTGCTCGCAAAATACTAACCTTTATCTTCTTTTAACAAACATATTTTCCTTTTTTTTTTCTTTGTAAATAACATATTTTCCTTATTAAATTTGAGCGAGGTGAATGTCTAGAATTTATGATATTCAATTCGTTCTAAAAATTTTACCAAACCTTTAGGCAAGTATTTCCCATTATATTCTCACCTGTTTGTTACATAATTGTATTTATCATTGTAACTGCATTTTGAGGTTAGAGAAGAATTTTCTGTTTTCATTTTAATCTATGTGATTTTATAGAAAGTTGTTTTTGATAGACTTGAAAGCGGTTAACCATGCGTGGAAAAAAAGAACGGAATATCTTTTGGAAAGTTCAAGCTATTTTCTCGATCCCTTTGTGTTCAAGTTGTTCTATTATTCTTCCTTTTTATCTCATCGAATACAACTTTATTCTTCTTCACTTTAATATAATGTTCCTTTTTACTTCCTCGTTATCTTTATAAGAGGCTTCCTACACAAACTTCTCTAAAAGCTTCTTCGTTAAGGGAAAGCACTCATATAGAAGGAAAGAAAGGAGTTCAGGAAGATATAAACAGGTTTGCAGATTTTGGAGGATGCCTTTCAAGAAGCCTCATCACACTGCAGAATCTAGTTTCGTAACTAAGGCAAGTATACGTTTTCTTATATACATTCAGTAATAAATTAAAAAGGAAATTTGTGAGTTGTTTCACAAACTAAGAATTATTTCAGATTGAACAGCGGGAAGAACTTTATTTTTCAGGTCTATATAAATAAAAATTTATTTCTTCCTACTTCCGTGCTCTACCCAATTCCTATTTTATATAAGTCCGCAAGGATGTAATCTCCTTATAATAAATTTGACGTGGTCTGCAATTGGAAAGTAGTTTCTAAAATGTAAGCTTACAAATTTTGTTTTCATACCAAAGGGTCGTCGGGTTGACCAGAAGAAGGGAGAACCTCACTGGTTTGATGGAATGAAAACGGTTCGTACAAAAAATTAAAACAAATGAAATTTTTTTCGCCTAAACTGGCTCATCTTCACAGATTGTTACAAAAATTGATAGTTACATCTATTTTTAATAGCTTTATAACTCAAGTAGTATGTTAACTTGAAGTTACCAGCTAAAGAGTCCATCAAATTATTAGTAGTTCGAGTCGGTTTGGGGCAAATGCCTTAAGTGAGATTTAGTCTCCCATATCTACCTTATTACTAAATCTCATCCTTTGACTGAATTTTAAAGTACTTATATATGATGCTTGTATTTACTATAGCGGTATAATATATGCAGGTTGGCGGCAGGTATGAGATAAAACCAAGAGGACTCAACATTGTCTGGGGAAATGATTCTCGATATTGGAAAATACCAGAGTGAGTATAATAATGATATGGATTAAATACTTAATTTTTTTTATAACGTAAAGGAAAACATTTATACTTCTTTAGAATTTTCCGTTATCTTTATTATTTTATTCTTTTCTTTTCTTTTTTTGATCTGATCTCATAAAATGGAATTGAAATCGACAATTTATGTTATCATTTGAATTAAAGAATGGATAAGCTATTGTCGTTAATTTTTGTAAAATTGTGAAATAATTCAACACTTTTGAAGTTCTATGTTTTATCTATATAATATGATTTTATTGATTCTCATATTATAGGAAATAAATTTATCTCTTATATATACATAAAAAATGTTTGGGCCCATATTTTCTCTTTCTCTCTCTTCTCCTCACATGGTCCCACACATTTTTATGTATGTACAGAAGATAAAATTTATCTTCTTCAATATGATAAATATTAAACTCATATAAATAAAGGGTTTAGTGTTTATCCTTTTAAAGGACATATAGTTATGTCATTTTAAATAAGAGAAAAACACATCAACATCAACAACACCTTTATCCCAAATTAATTGGGGTCGGTGGTAGATGAATCCAAATGAAAGATACAAAAAGGTTGAAAAAAGAAACATAAAAGTAAAAATAAAAATAAATAAATCGAATAGTAATAATATATATAAATATAAAAGTAAAAGTAAAAAAGAAAGGGAAAAGAAGAAGAGGGGAAACGAAGGGGAAAAGGACTAAAAAGGGACCATATGGAACATAGGAATAACAACGGGTCTAACCCTCCACCATGCTTATAGCTTTTCTCCATTCCGTTCTAAGACATACCGTCCGCCAATCTATATCCCACTCCATTAAATCTTGTTTTACCACCTTTCCCCAAGTAAGTTTCGGTCTATCTCTACCTCTTTTTGTGTTGAGCTCTTGGTAACAAACTTTTGTTCTTACGGGAGCATCCAGGGGCCTTCTCATTACGTGCCCAAACCACCTCAATCTATGTTCTCTCATCTTCTCAGCCACCGATAGTACTCCTACCTTTCGTCGAATATCTTCATTTCTTATCTTATCCATCCTCGTATAACCACACTTCCACCTTAACATCCTCATCTCTGCTACTCCCATTTTATGCTCATGTTGCCTATGTGCTGGCCAACATTCAGCTCCATATAGCATTGCAGGTCTTACTGCTGTTTAATAGAAATTTCCTTTTAACTTAAGGGGGATTTTACGGTCACACAAAAACCCAGATGTACTGCGCCATTTCATCCACCCTGCTCTGATTCTATGATTTACATCCTCATCAATCTCTCCACCTTTTTGAAAAATGGAGCCCAGGTATTTAAAAGTGTCTTTCTTGGGTACCTCTTGATCACTTAGATGCACGGGATCTTGGTCTACATCTCCTACCAGAGAAAACTCACACTTCAGATATTCAGTCTTGCTTCGACTTAATGTGAATCCTTTAGATTCCAATGTGCTTCTCCACAATTCAAGTTTTCTATTAACACCATCCTTGCTCTCATCAATAAGCACAATATCGTCTGCAAAAAGCATACACCATGACACTTCCCCTTGAATATATTTTGTTAGTTCATCCATAACTAAGGCAAAGAGATAAGGACTTAGAGCTGACCCTTGGTGTACACCTACCGTGATAGGGAAACTTGAAAAAGGGTATTCTAATATATTATAGAATTGTAAATAATCTGTATAAAGGGTTCTCTATTTATAGAGAATATTTGACCTAATTTTAACCTAATGGGCTTGGCCCAATACAACAAATAAATGACTAAATAATAACTAAATAATTATTATTTACAACACTCCCCCTCAAGCCGAGGAATAGATATTTATCATTCCCAGCTTGCTAGTAAGTTCTTGAAATCTGTCTGAAGGAAGCCCCTTTGTTAATAGATCAGCTAATTGACGCCCAGTGGGAATGTATGGAGTGGTAATCAACACGCTATCAAGTTTCTCTTTGATGAAATGGCGGTCAACCTCAATATGTTTAGTCCGATCATGTTGGACTGGATTATGAGCTATACAAATAGCGGACTTATTATCACATAGCAGCTTCATAGGTCCCTCACATTTTATTTTGAGATCATCAAACTCAGAGGCAAGTCGTGTTTGCAGAATCTGTCTCTCCACAAAATCATCACCTGTGATAATAATATCATCAACATATACAAGGAGCACAGTAAGCTTCCCATTTTGGGAGTGCTTGAAGAAAAGAGTGTGATCTCCTTGGCTCTGTCTGTATCCTAAGGTCATCATAACCTTAGTAAATCTTCCAAACCAAGCACGAGGTGACTGCTTCAATCCATACAAGGCCTTTTTTAATCTACAAACTTTATTTTCCCCCTTCACAGAATCAAAACCAGGCGGGATTTCCATGTAGACTTCTTCTCCTAACTCACCATTGAGGAAAGCATTTTTCACATCAAATTGATTTATATCCCAATTGTAATGGGCAGCAAGGGATAACAAGATTCTCACTGTATTCATCTTTGCAACTGGAGCAAAGGTTTCTTCATAATCAATGCCATAGGTTTGAGTGTAACCTTTGGCCACTAATCGAGCCTTATATCTCTCAAGAGTGCCATCAGAATTATATTTCAGGGCATAAACCCATCTGCACCCTACTACTTTCTTTCCGTTGGGTCTATCAATAACCTCCCATGTTTTATTTTTCTCCAAAGCATTCATCTCCTCTTGCATGGCTTGAGCCCAATTCCTATCTTTCAAGGCTTCATGTACTGATTTTGGGATTGCAATAGAATCTAGTGCTGAAACAAAGCTTTTGTGCTGCACAGAAAGATTAGCAGAGGAAACAAAATGGGAGATAGGGTATTGAGTACAAGAGGGACAGGAAGAACAAGTTTTCTTGTGACAAGATCTTTTTCCTTTTCTAAGAGCAATAGGTAAGTCATCAGAAGTAGAAGCAATGGGTAAGTCATTAGAGACATCAGAAGAAATAGACAAATCATAAGAGGAAATAATATTAGAATCAGAAACAGGAGATTCAGGAGACTCAGAAGAAATAGGAGATTCAGGACTTACTAGTGGTTCAGACGATTGAGGTTGCTGGTGAGACAATATGGGTTGTATCTCAGGTGTATTTGAAGGTTCTGACACACCAGGAGCAGACACACTAGGAAGAGAGAAGATTGATCCAGACTCAAAGAAGGAAGGGGACGAGTCTTCTGAAGAACTATTCTCCCCCTGACGATGAGGACCCAAGAAATAAGATTCAGATTCTTGAAAGGTGACATCCATAGAAACAAAAAATTTCTGACTTGGTGGATGATAACACTTGTACCCTTTTTTATAAGGGTTATAACTAAGGAAGACACACTTAAGAGCCCTAGGATCCAACTTACTCCGATGTTGTTTATGAACATGGACAAAGGCAACACATCCAAACACTCTTGGTGGAAGGCTCTGCAATATGGGAACAGAAGGAAAGAAGGAAGTCATGGAATGAATAGGACTGATATTGTTAAGGACCCGTGAAGGTAAACGGTTGATCAAAAAAGTTGCAGCTAATACTGCTTCTCCCCAATAAGAACTAGGAACAGATGTCTGAAAAAGTAGTGCTCTAGCAACTTCAAGAAGGTGACGATTTTTCCTTTCAGCAACCCTGTTTTGTTGAGGGGTATCAACACATGTGAGCTCATGAATCATACCTCTGTCTGAAATGAATTGTGACAGGCGTTGATTGACGTACTCAGTACCATTATCAGATCTGAGTCTTTTAATACCCTTACCAAACTGAGTCTTAACCATGTGATGAAACCGAATAAATATCTCTGGTACTTCAGACTTGTCTTTCATCAAGTATATCCATGTTATCCGAGTACAATCGTCAATAAAAGAAACAAACCACCTTGCACCTGAAACACTGTGCACTTTAGAAGGGCCCCAAACATCAGAATGGATAAGAGAAAAAGGTTCCCTGCTTTTAATAGTGCTAGAAGGAAATGACACTCGATGGTGTTTTGCAAATTCACAAACATCACAATGAAAGGCCTCAACCGACTTATTGAGAAACAGAGAGGGGAACATAGACTTCAAAAGACTAAATGGTGGATGCCCGAGACGCTTGTGATGGAGCCAAATCATAGACTCTGCAGTAGAAGGATGACGTGTCATTAATAACTAATTTTTGCTAGCATGGTCTGGAAGGAGATGATACAACCCATCCTGTTCATTAGCAACTCCAATTGTCTTCTTCGTGGTAAGATCCTGAATAAGACAATGAGAAGGAAAAAATGTGATAGAACAATTCAAATCAGTTGTAAGTTTTTTAGTGGAGATAAGATTAGTAGAAAGCTGAGGAACATAAAGAACATTTTTAAGAAACAAGGAAGGTTGAATTTGAATGTTACCAGAACCAATAACTGATTTATGGGATCCATCAGCTACGGATATAGTATGACTACCAACAGTAGGATGATAAGAACAAAACAACTCAGTACGACAAGCCATATGATCATTTGCACCAGAATCCAAAATCCATGAGGTTTTAAAATCAGTGCAAGAAGCAAGAAAAGATATAGAACGTGTGCTCTTACCAGATAAGATCGAAGAACTATCATGCTCGGCCATTCTTTAACAAAAAAAGTTAACAACCAGCGATAAAATCAACCAAACAGAATATCAAATGACCTCTGATCAGAAAAATAATTACAGATCCAGACAGAAGACAAGAAGACGAGAAGAATGGTGGTGGTCCGGTCCAAAAACACGGCCGCACGCGCCTCCACGCGCCGGAGAAAGGAGCTGCGCGTGGGATTCACTCGCCGGGAAAGGGGCGGCGCGTGAGAGCGCGTGGATGGGCTTCGCCGGCTGAGATTTTTCTGGTGTGGTCGTCCGGTGAGCGCGCACCTGTCTGTGGGTGGTCGCGGTTGAAAAGTCGCTGAAAAGTGGTCCAAACGGTGAAGACAGATCTGATTGGAGGCGGTCGGAGGTGTTTCGGTCGTTTGTGGCGGAGGAACAGTGCGTAGAATGATAGATCGG